TGTCCCTTGAAGTAGGCGTTGGTGTGCTCATATCATTTTCATTGAAGAGATGTTGTAGCTGATCAATTGAGATGTTACTGCTGCTCTTTCCAACAATATTTGTACTGTTAAAATGGAAAGTGTTCAAACCACGACATTCCCATATAGTCAATTCCCTTAGAGAGGTAAATTCAATAGAAATATTAATTCCACTGCAAAATCTTTTGAGTTTGGGAAGTTTGTTAAGCTTCATGGAGTCAAGTTTAGGAAACAAACTTATATAGCTACTAATCCTTTGTTCTCCTAATACTCCTTGTCAGGGATGGACGTAGGAATTTGTGGCAATTACATACAAAGTTATAGGGTAAACTACGAATTTAATACTTAAACTATCAGTTTTGATCCGTTTTCACACCTAAACTTTAGTTTTTTTTTCAAAATCATACTTAAAATTTAATTTTTGTTTCATTTTAGTACCCTGCCATTAAGTTTTGAAAAAAATGAAAGTCTAGGTACCAAAACATGTTTAGTACCTAAATCATACTTAAGTTTTAAAAAAATTGAAAATTTAGGTACTAAAACGGATCAAAACTGATCGTTTAGGTACTAAAAGCATTAAGTTTTTAGCGACGGATATTAAAATGAAACAAAAAGTAAACTTTAGGTATGATTTTGAAAAAAATTAAAAGTTTAAGTACTAAAACGGATCAAAACTAATAATTTAAGTACTAAATACATAATTTATCCAAAATTATATTAAACTTTAGGGGTGCGAAATTAAATAATTCATATAAAATACAAAGAAAATAATTAATATATAAGGGAATTTAAAATTTCTAGGGGTGCGATCGCACCCCCAACACCCACCTCGATCCATCCCTGGTCCTTGTATTACCTCTTCCAATTCATCACAATAAGAAACTTCAAGTTTTTCGAGTTGAACAAAGTTTTTAACCATAGATGAACTAAATACACACTTCAACTTATGGCATCTCGTCACGATCAAAATTGTTAAACTTTGAACACCAATATCATCATTCCATATTTTCTCAATGCCACTCACATGGTAAAAAGAAAAAACAATTCCTCCAAGACAGGACATGAAACCTGTAAACAAAAAATATATTTATTTATGTATTTACTACTGAAATCGACAATTATTTATATTAATTTTTCTTTAATTAAAATATTAAGTACTAGTTTTTGCTATCATTTAAATATCCAAGATTCTTTTACGTTATTTAAATATTTTTGGCAACAACAAATTAAGTACATAATTTGTTCAAATCAGTTGTGTGCTACTCATTCTTTCCAACCAATATATCGGAAGCCAATGTTAAGTCGAACATTTAAAAGCGAATCCACAATTCTCAAGTAAATTGTAAAAAAACTAGAAATTATGAGTGTAATGAATACCTTTGGGTTGAAAAGTGGAGCGGTTTCTGATTATGTATTACTATCGCTGGGTGAAGAGGAAGCTGTTGTCTCATGGGAATAAAAGCTTTTGAAATTTTGCGAACCAGACATTAATTTGTTGTAGTTGGTTGAGATTTCTGGCAATGGAGAACGGATCAGTCTATCACAACTGCGAATTGTTACAGTTGTTAAGTGGCTAAGTGACTCTGTTTTGATGAGTTCACCATGGCATATCTTCTCCAGATTACGCAGACCTCCGAGATCCATTGTCCCTAAAGCAGGAAATACTTTATGCAGAGCCAATCCCATGTACATGGAGTTAATAATCCATTTAATCTCCGAGGACTCTAACTCTCTAATAGTAAGATACTTGAGATGTGGAAAACCGTCGTATCTAATAACTCAAAAGGCATACCCTTGGCACCTTTCAGTCCCTCTATGCGTAACTCTTCAACTCTCTTTATCAACATTTCCATCACTTTATCTAAGCCATCGCCAATGTCTAACTCAAGTTGCAACGTTTTTGAAGCTTTACTCTTAGTAACGAAAATGGAACGCCCCTGAAATTCTCCTATAACAATCTTGTATCTTTCCAACTTTCTCAAGAACAAGTCTTCTTCTGGCATAATTCTGGTATCCGGAATGGATACATCTAATGCTGACAAAGAAGACAAGATATTTAACTCTTCAAGTCGAGCATTACCTCCAACATTCCATTCACTAAAGCTATTGCCAACAAGTAGCTCTTCTAATCTATACAATTTTACTAAGACATTTTCTGCGATGACTTCAAGTCTAGAACATTCACTCAAATCAGTAACTTTAGTTGGGTCAATTGTGCAATCTCTATTGGCAATTTCGTAATGGTGGAACCTTGAAAGCTGAGTATATCTAATTTCTTCAGCTTCTCTATGATGGCTATCTCAGACAACGCGCATTCACATAAACGCGAAGTTTGAAGGTTTGTTAATGAACCAAAAGATGAAGGCAGAGAATATGGAAAACTCATACCAGTCACGCTTAACACCTTTAACTTATTCATATCTTTGAAAAAAGTTTCCGAGACTCGGAAAGATGGATCTTTATTCAGCAACATGAGTAACTCTAGATTTGAACAATCCACATCAGAAAGCTCGACAATGTTACTGTGTGGCAACGAGATAGCAGTGCAACATTTGACATTCCCCTTCTTCAACAATTCCTTCAGATGATTTACATCCTTTATGACCCACATTCCCTTGTTTTCTTATGCAATTGAAATGGAAAAATCGCATATAAGATCATGCATTTTCACCCATTCGTAACATTTTCCCTTGAGTAGTAAGTTAGAAGCTTTGAGCTTATAAACTAGTGCATCTATACTTTTTTCTTGCTTCTTCCAACGTATAGATGCCTTCCAAAAGATCTAGACCAATGCTATATTGCAGCAAATCAAAGATAGGGATATCAAAACTCTGAGGATGCAGGCCGCATACCAGGAGCAAAGATTGTGCTTCGTCATTTCTCAGCCATTTGTAACTCAACTCAATGGTAGAATATACATTGTCTTGCACAGCAAGGCATCATCCCAAGACGTGAGGTCCTTAGCTTTCAAAGTGTTTGTAAATACTAAGATAGCGATAGGGCAGAGAAACATTTCTTCTTTGCTGATAGCATGTGCCTCATCCATCGCTTTCTTGCTGACTTGGTATCAAGACTTGACATTTGGACACAGGACAGAGAAACATTTCTTCTTTGCTTTCTCCTCATCTTCGTTCAATTTCTCCTCAACGTTTTCAGTCAACTTCTTATCAACGTTGGCCAACATTTTGAGGACATCCGCTTCAATCTTCTCCGCATTCCTTATGGCCCTATCGACAGAATGCTGCATTCTACCTCGAGCATCTTCCATCTTTCCAACTTGCTCCTTCAGATCCTGGACATTGCTGTCAATATATATTAAGTACCCAATCCCAAGTTTGATGACACTTCAGCAACTGTACTCGTAGCACTGCTTACAATAGATCAGGGGCGGACCCAGGACAAAAATTCAGGGGTTGCACAAAAATATTCTTATAAATTGTTTTTAGGGGTTGCACAATATTAAGAGTGATATTTGTATTAATTAAAAAAAATAGAAAAAAATTAACACTAAATAGACAATTTTGTTACATAAATTTTTTTTTTCTATAAGAACTTAAGTGAAATATGCACAACCCCTCAGATTGAAGAGGATGGTCCAAGAGAGAGTGACTCATTTCGTACCCTTGAAACTCAGAAAAGAAGTAATCCTTGGGGTCAGTTTCAAACGCCTTATAGAAGCTGACAACATCAATATTCCTCACAATTTGAGGGGTTGCTACCCGGGCTACCCCTGGGTCCGCCCCTGCAATAGATTGCATTTTTTTTCTTCTTTAAGTTAGAAGAGAAAGACAACTATGAAATAAGCCAAATGACAAAACAGGAAAAAACGACAGGTCTGCACGGGAGAACAAAATACAGAAGAAGAAAAATGAGAATAATGGCAAACAACTACAATGAGGTTTTTTTCTCCTCCCCATGCAAAGCTTTGGATCATATTCTTCGCTTCTCAACTTACTTGTGCTATCAAAGATACCATCAACCTTCTTGAAAACTCTGTACGAAAAGAACTGATGCATATTAGATAATGATATAATATGAGAAATTGGCAATAAAGCACTTTCTCCAAGATTATTCTCTCAGCATAAACAAATTACACTTTCATGTTTAATCTCTGGAAGAATGTAATATTCCAAACTAAGTTAAGTTGTTTGGTCTCACATTAAACATTAAGGTAAGCTAAAGCACTCATTCCTTTAGGAAAAAGTATGTAAGCATGATTACAGTAGTTTCCATTTGCTTTACTACTTCAAGATCAGACCAGATGCTCTCCCCAAATAATATTTATGTATCCGTATGATCCCATCCAATTACTCTGATCTTTACTGGAATGAATACATACAGAGACAAAACCAGAAATTTTATTAAGGGGTCAGAATAAATTTATAACTGTTTAGAGGAAAAGTGCAATTTTCTCATTGGACTAATTTATAAGTGCATAATTTCTTAAAGGATTAGAGAACAAAATTTTCATTTTAGGGGGCAAGGCCACTGCCTGCCCCCAGTAGCTCCCTCCGTCCATGGATTATTTCCTTTATGATCCTCAGCTGTTTGGTCTAACAAAACTAATTTGCCCAAGGTCTCAACATTCTCTCACCATACGTGTTCGAGGCGAGCTATGCTTGGTCGTTTCCGTGGACAATGAACTGCCTCTGCAAAAGAAAGGGAATATTGATAACAATACAGATGAACTGGAATGAAATTGATCTGTTCTTGGTAGCCATGGGGAACATTTACCTTTCAGCTTAGATGCTAACAGACGGGCACACTTTGTTACAAAAACCCCCCCAACTCCATTGAGGAAAGCTTTTGCAGACTCTGAGATTTCACTTAGTTTATGACCATTCGAAAGAAGGAATGAAGCAGGTTCTAATTTATTGAGAATGTCATATATTCTTTCTAAAGCCGCGGTGGCTTCATTCAGCCTCACCAGTAGTAGGAAAAATTCATATCCAGGACTAATCGTGATAAAGCAGTAATCCCATATTCATATCCAGGACGGGGTCAATGGGTGATCAGCAAGGCCCATAGCCAAGGTTAGCGACCTCCATTGCACTTAGGAGGGGCGCTAGCCTAAGGTCTCCTCAAAGTGGGAGAGCCTACGTCATAATTTGTGGCAATGGGGCTTCCGTTCGCGCGGCCTCCTTCCAATCCTAGTTTAAGTTATTGGAGTAAAGGTTGTAGACTAGCTATTGTCGGGAGCGATTGTTTGCAGACTTTGACGTCCTTAACAACAACATAATTCCCTCAATCAAATGAGGTATTCAAGAAATCATGAGATTATAATCTTTTAAGAAGTAAAATTTTAAGCAATAAATTGATAAGAAATCAGTAGACTAATTCGGTCAAAAGCATGTCAATACAAATATAAGCAAACTTTTGTTGTACTGCTGCCCGCTGAACACACCAGTGGTTACTGTCAATTTGTAGGAGAGTGTGGTAACCGGTTTTCGCCCTGGTACAAAATTTTATAGGCGGAAAAGTAATGTGAATGAAATAAATGGTTTTTATGCAATGTTTTGGAAGTCGCCATCGACCTTTTGGGTTAGGTAAGTCGAATACCTAAAAAATCATCTTTTAAAAGAGTTTTTAATAAAAAACTATTTAAAAATAAATTGGTCTGCGTATAACAAATTTTTTTTCTTTTTTGGTAATAAAAAGGGATTCATGGTCGGTTACGTTTGGGGAAGGATTAGCACCCCACAACGTCCAAAATTGGTCCCTGTCAATTGTCTCTAATAATAGAATTTAAGAATTCAAATATAAATTTAATTTATGATCCTGTTATTTCTAATTCAATCGGATAATTCTAAAAAAATATATTAAAATAATTTTTATAAACCTAAAGTAAATAAGTAAATATATATATACTTAGAGTTTTATAAATTATTATAATATACGATTTTGACCAACTTTTTTTCGATTTGCCAAAATGACCAACAAAATCGCAATGCTATCTCTAAATCGCAACGCGATCTCCAGTATCGCAAATCAGTTTTTAGATTCGCAACGCGATTTTGACTATCGCAACGCGATTCTGACTATCGCAACGCGATAAAACATAATCGCAACGCGATTCTGACTATCGCAACGCGATAATACATAATCGCAACACGATTCTGACTATCGCAACACGATAATATATAATCGCAATGCAATTCTGACTATCGCAACGCGATAATACAAAATCGCAATGCGATTTTCAAAGCGCCATTAGTATCGCAACGCGTATTTTATTTTCAAATTCCAAACATGAATATTAATACATCACGTAATCACAACTCTTAACCTAAAACCCTAAATCACAACTCAGTCCTATCTCTATTCTCACTCTCTATGGCGACATCCGTCCCCATCTCCGACGAAATCCGTCCCCATCTCCGGCAAAATCCGTCTATCGCCATATCTCAGAGCCACCCTCACAATCATTCACGATCAGAAATGGAAAATCAACCAAATCAACCACCGAGGGTTAGTTTTTAATTATTTTTATTTTGAAATTTTTGCATTATTATTAGGTTTTTCATATTGAAATTGATGATAAGTTTACTGGTAATTTCAATAATAGATTAACCATTTCACTTAGATTGCTTATTAAATCCATTCGATTGCTGCCAATACTGCTAAACTGTTTAGTCTTTAACCCTGTAAAGTTAGTATTTGTCTTTGTTTTGTCTTTTGGTTGAAGTAATGCAATTCATTCAAGTTTCAATTTTAGACAATGACTATTTGAAACCGAGGATCGCAACGCGAAATGAAAATCGCAACGATAGTCAAATTCGCGTTGCGATGTCATTTTCGTGTTGCGATTTTCATTTCGCGTTGCGATTATCTTGTTGCGATAGTCAAATTCGCGTTGCAATAGTCATTTTCGTGTTGCGATTTTCATTTTCGTGTTGCGATTTTAAGTCTCAGAAACTATTATTCTTCTGCAAATTGAAACTTGAATGAATTGCATTACTTCAACCAAAAAACAAAGACAAATACGAAATTCACAGTATTGCAAATTTAAGTTTGAAGAATAAACTACTACTACTCTTTATGTTTATTATTGTTTTTGGTATATCTTCACAGTGTAGTTTTTAATCTAACTTGGTATGTTTATTGTTTTTGTAGAACTTTTTTTCGGCTCAATTGACCTTAAGGAATAAAATAAGCCTAGTCACTACAATTGCGTTGAAGTTTTCACCTGTACAAAGAACATTGTTTGTGGATACTTGCTTCGAGCCATGGCTGAAAGTACAACATCCAGGTAGAGATGCTATGTTGACCCATTTCTACCCGAGAGTATAAAACGTGGTAATGAAGATATATGGTTTCATTTTCCACCGGCGTATACGTGTTTTGGGCGGGAGGAGTTTTGCTTAATCACTGGTCTACGCTTTGGACACGATGATGTAGGTCGATACACTAGTCATATTACCCGCCCACATGGTTATCCCGGGTTTTTCCTGAGCTGTTAATGGAGAAGCCGAATTTACACGTCGACGACTTGAGAGATTGAATAAGAAAGATGGTTTTACTCAGATGGATAACGTCGATGTTATCCGAGTATGCCTTTTAGTACTTTTGCATACCGACTTTTTAGGCAAAGAGGCCAGACAACCTATTCCTAAGGACCTAATATTATTGGTAGAGGACCTAAATGCATGGAACCTATTTTCGTGGGGTTCGTATCTATGGAAAGCTACCTGGAATAAGTTGTCGTCTGCCTTTGATGACCGTAAAAGTTTGCGTGGCGATGGTTCCAAATACACTTTGTCAGGCTTTATTTGGGCCTTTAAGGTAAGAATTTCTAATAATATTTTCCAAAATTATAATTAATTTAACAATTACTAAGGTTTGTATATTATATTGTTTTTGTAGTTTTGGATATTTGAGGCTTTTCCCGACATGCAGACATATGCATTAAAAACTTCAAATGATATTCCTAGAGCTATTTCCTGGAAGAGGAAACGACAGTTGTTGATTGGGAAGAGTTACTACGGTATACGACAAAATGATGTAAGTTAACACAAATACTACCATATATATAAACAAGTTATTACTAGTACACGTTTAAACTTTGTTTGAGCTTTTATATTGTTAGGAGGCCAACACTCCATTACAGAGGCTGACACCCACGGAGGCTGAGCTTGCCACTGATTGGTGGCAAGCTAGTAAGCGTTTTTTTGATGGCACGGATGATGAGCAGCCTCCACTTCGAGAGCCATCACCTCACCCAGAGCCATCACCGTATCGACCACACTATATACCTCTACAACGAGAGCCATCACCTATTCCATCGTATTATCGATCCTCTTCTCCACCATCACCTCATGATAGGCGACCGGCAAAGATGCCACGATATTTATCTCCATGTTCTCCACCTCCACGGGATGAGTTAGGGGAGTTATGTGATGAGGTCAATGCCTTACGTGAGGAGGTCGGTACTTTACGCGCGATGACAATGGTGTATGGCGTGACGAGGTATCTACTTTACGTGGTGAGGTAGCGGCTCTACGTGAGATGGTAGCATCGTTGTAGAATGAGGTTCATACTCTACACAACGAGGTAAGTTTAAGATTTTTATATTTAACTTGATTTACTCGTAATTTCACTTAGATTAACCATTTCACTTAGATTGCTTAGTAAATTCATTCGGTTGCTGCCAATACTGCTAAACAGTTCTAAAATAACCCTGTGAAGTTAGTATTTGTCTTTGTTTTGTCTTTTGGTTGAAGTAATGCAATCCATTCGAGTTTCAATTTGCAGAAGAAGAATAGTCGCAACACGAAACTTAAATCGCAACGCGAAAATGACTATCGTAACGCGGAAATGAATATCGCAACGCGAATTTGACTATCGCAACGGAATAATCGCAATGCGAAATAAAAATCGCAACGTGAAAATCGCAATGCGAAAATCCCATTGCAATAGTCAAATTCGCGTTACGATTTAAGTTTCTTGTTGCGATTTTAAGTTTCAGAAACTATTCTTCTTCTGTAAATTGAAACTTGAATGGATTGTATTACTTCAACCAAAAGACAAAGACAAATACTAACTTCACAGTGTTGCAAATTTAAGTTGCAAGAATAAACTACTACTCTTTATGTTGTCCTTAAACATGCACTAAACCTATATGATGTCCTTTTAAATGTTTATAAGTGCTTACTTCCAGAATGTTATCTGATGCATTTTGTGAACTATGATAGAATAATGACTTGGGTGAATACCGTGCAAGTTTGAAACATATTTGTCTTTGTTTTCACTATTTAATATCATGTCTGTTTATTTACTGATTTATGTATTAATAATTATTTTTAACGGCCCGATAAGGTGGATGCTTTACGTCGGGTTTTTCTTGCATGATGGGGTTCACGCATAAAACGGCGTGCACGTGTCATTACGTCTCGTTAACCCCAATAGCGCAAAGACTCCGTAAGAAGAAGCCCGACTCACCTGTCATCGTTCAAGAGTCCCCTCCTATCGTTCAAGAGGCCCCTGTCATCGTTGAAGAGGTCCCTCCCACCATTCAAGAGCCCGATTCATACGGCGTAATATGTCGAATTATTGAGAAACCCCCTCACGTGCCGGACATGATGGATGATTGTTGGCTTTCGTATGAGTTACCGGCCAGTTCCATTCCGGTAGATGAAGTGGAGAGGAGACAACTACCGGAAACAATTATGGATAATACCCTTTGGGCTAAGACCGCAGTTGATTTTTATCTACATGAGCGGAGCCAAGGGTGTTACGCTGACATATATAAACTCAACGATGATATGCATTTGTTGATTGATCGGTCTTGGTGGGGTGTGTTATTAGGGATTGAAGACAAAGGCTATTTCGATGGGGGGGGTAAGTCTTATATTTCTCTTATTTCATTTTGATTAATTTTTTTTAAAAAATTTATGTAATTCACTAATATAGTATTTTTTTGTAAACAGCATATTGATGCATGGGAGTCACGTCTCTAATAGTAAGGAAATTGAAGAAAAATAAAAAAAAATATGTGATATACAATTATGTCGACGTCTTTTCACGTAGTTCACTGAAGAATCACGACAATAATCATATGTTGGCTAATGGACAAGCTAACCTTATCTGCATGGTGGGAGGTCGATAAGGTTAGTATTTATTTTTTAAATATTTTAAAGATGTTCAT